GTTTGTTACTTTTCTCCTGCTATGCACAATGCAATGGACGCCTTTCATTTTCGCCCGCACTATTAACATTCTCTATTGCTTTTAGAACACCAGTTGTCTGATCATGCTTATGATAAGCTCTTGCTTTGTAGTCTTCTGCATTTTCCTGGTCTCCTGTCATGGGGGTTCTTGGGTTGGAACAGGTCTCTCAGGAGGACCAGTTGGCATCAGGGTGGGCTAGAGTCCCCAAGGCAATGCGGAGGGAAATGGGGGGCAGGGATCAGACTCCTTCTACCCCGGGTCAGGCATTTTGGATTTGAATCCCAGATTTCCAAATATCACTGGGACTCACAGGAGAAAACCATCCCTTCCTCTAGTCTGAGCTTAGTTCTCTCCTCCGCAAACTGCTCTATCCCTGAGCTGTTGGAGGAGGACAAATGCTATCTGAGTATAGAGACATTTCGGGCCAGACATCCCTCACTCCCCCAACCCTGACAAACACCTTGACTTGGAGTGTGTTTGAGAAAAAAAATGAGGCTCATGAGAACCCTCTGACCCACCTGCAGGGAGGCAGGTGCTGTGGGCCCTGAGGTCTCAGTGTGGGTTCTTTACCTGCAAATCTCCAGGTGATTCCTAGAGCTTCCCTGAATCTCATTTGGCTGCATATGACATGAAGGTGATGTTGGCACTTACCTTAACCTCTGAAGATCAGTAAAAACCAACTGAGTCCTTGCTGGTGAGAGGATTCCAGGATTAGTTTTTGGAGCATTTTTTTCAATTCTCACAACCACCGGGGAAGTGGAAACAATTTCAAATTGCTGGGAACATCAAGGATGAGAGAAATGACGGAGGCTCTGCAAGTTTACTCAGCAGACGTGTGTCTGGTATAAGAGGCTGGATTCCAACATGGGGTTCTGGCTCCAGAGCTTGGGGCAGGTACACTGTGAGGACCAGGGAGAATCAGCTGAAGGTGCTCTTTCCATTGTTGCAATTGTGATGATTTTCCTAAGATGTCAGAGCACTTACCCTTGGCCTCCCTGTGTTCAGGGGAACGCCATCATTTCTCAGCTGCAGTGGTTTCTCCAGGGGAACCTGCTTTCCGAGTGAACTGCTGTTTGTCTGCCTCCCCTTGGATCCCAGCACAGAGTTTGACCCTCTGGAGACCTCGGTAATTTAGGCTGGGTCTCTGCACCTGCACCCGCATTTTGGGTGTCAGGCTGCGATCCCACCCACTGTGATGAATCTGATGCCTCAGTTGGACTCTACCAAGAGATGTTTGAATATGGCACTGACATTCACCCTGCAGGCGTGGGGACAACTGGGTATGAATTTGGGGCCCTATTTGGAAGTGATGCTGGAGATCTACAGGATCCTGGTTTCTTTCGCAGGTGCTCCTCTCTCTTCCATTTAGGGGACCCACTGTCCCTGTGATTCTGTCTTCTATATCCTCACTCTTGTCTGAGACAGTGGCACTCAATATGTGTTTTCTGCAGCCCTGATTTTATATATATATTTAATATTTTTTATTTATTTATTTTTTTACAGAGAGGAAGGGAGAGGAACAGAGAGTTAGAAACATCGATGAGAGAGAAACATCAATCAGCTGCCTCCTGCACACCCCCCACTGGGGATGTTCCTGCAACCAAGGTACATGCCCTTGACCAGAATCGAACCGGTCAAGCTTGAGTCTGCAGGCTGACACTCTATCCACTGAGCCAAACTGGTCAGGGCTGGGTCTCATCTCTTGTCAGAGCTGTGAGAAACACTTCCTGCTGGGACAGGGGCATCACGAGCTAGGTCACTGCCCATGAAGGCAGCCTGCCTGCCCACAAAGCCAACACTGGGAAGGCACGTCCCAGAGGTGGAGTAGGGCTGACAGCTGCTGGCCTCTTGCCTGGGGCCAGCTTTGAGTTGGGTTCCACAGGCGTCCTGACCCGGCAGGACCTGACCCCCAGGGCCCAGACCCAGG